GCCTCAGTCATCCTTGACCTTCCCTTTTCCCTCATCCCCCATATGTAATCAATGACCATGTTTTATTGATTCTACCTCTACAACATCTCTCCTCTGCCTCTTTCTCTACATGCAGCAGGCCATATCACCATCCTAGTTCAGACCTTATTACCTGAACTATTGTCATAGCTTCCTGATTTGTCTACATGTTTCTGATCTCCCCTCTCCAATCTATGTTCCACTCAGCTGCCAAAATAATTTTCCTAAAGCACAGGAGTGACCAATTCACTGCCCTGCTCAAGTAGCTTCAGTGACTCTCTATGGTCTTTATTTTTATTTCTTGAAACTGGATCTCCCTATCTTACCCAGACTGGAAGTGCAATGGCTAGTCATAGGCCTGATCCACAACTAATTGACAGGGGAGCTTTGACCAGTTCCTTTTCTGATCTGGGCCAGGTCATCATTCCTTAGGTAGCCTAGTACCCCCTCCCTCTCAGTTTAGCAGAGTGCAGTTAAATTAATTCCAGAACTGAGCTCAATCAATCCACCTGCCTCAGCCTCCCCAGTAGCAGGGAGTGTAGGTGTACCATTACACACACCCCTCCACATTGGCTTTGAAATAAAATACCAATTCCTCACCTTGGTATTTAAATCTCTCCACTATATTGCTCTATCCTACCTTTCTAGACTTGTCTCACATTATTCTCCCTTGTGCCTTCTTCATTCTAACTAAACTGGCCTACTTGCTGGTCTCTGAATTTGGTGTTCAATTTCTCACAACCATGGCTTTACCCAAACTCTTTGCTATGCCTGGAAGGCTCTTCATCCTCACCTCTACCTCACAGAAACCTTAGCTTCCTTCAAAGATCAATTCACGTCCTAAGGGGAAGCCTTTCCTGATCCCCCTGGGGGGTTAATGCTCTCTCCTTCCTTTGGTTATCTTATACTGACCTTTATGCATCAAGGTTGTACCCTCCAATAGTATCAAAATGTCCTAGGACAGAATCTGTTTTTCATTTTTGTTTTTGTGACTCTGTATCTGTAATTTGAACATAGCAGGTGTTCAATAAATGTTTGCTTACTGAACTGAAAGAAGCTACAGCAGGTGCACAAGTGAGTCAAAATTAATTTGAGGTTGATGAAAGCCTCCTTTCTCAAATACATACAGAACTGAGTCAAATTAATAAAAATAAGAGGCATCTCCCAACTGATAAATGGCCAAAGAATATGAACAGGCAGTTTTTAGATGAAGTAGCCAAAGCTATCTATAGTCATAGGGAAAAAATGCTCTAAATCATTATTCATTAGGGAAATGCAAATGAAAACAACTCTGAGGTACTACCCCTACATCTATCAGATTGGCTAATATGACAGAAAAATAAAATGACAAATGTTGGAGGGGATGTGGGAAAATTGGAACACTAATGCATTGTTGGTGGAATTATAAACTGATTCAACCATTCTGGAGAGCAATTTTGAACTGTGCCCAATGGGCTATAAAATCCATACATATCCTTTGACTTAGCAACAACACTATTAGATTTGCATCCCAAAAATATTTTTTAAAAAAAGGAAAAAGATGAAAATCCACAAAATATTTATATCAGCTTTTTATGGTGGCAAAGGATTGGGAATTGAGAAGATGCCCATCAACTGGGAGATGACTGAACAACCTGTAGTATATGATTGTGCTGTAATACCATTGCACTATAGGAAATGATGAGCAGAATGCTCTCAGAAAAACCAAGAATTTCATGAACTGATGCAAAGTGAAATGAGCAGAACCAGGCAAACATTGTGTACAGTAGCTGCAGTATTGTACAACAATCAATTGTGAATGACTTAGCTATTCTCAGCAACACAGATGATCCAAGACAATTCTAAAGGACTTACGATGAAAAATGCTATCCATCTCCAGAGAAACAACTGATGGAGTCTGAACGCAGATTGAAATATGCTTCTTTTTACTTTGTTTGTTTTTCTTTTTTTTTCAATCTACGTATTCTTTCATAACATGATTAATATGGAAATGTTTTTTATGACTGCACATACATAACCTATGTTAAATTGCTTGTCTTCTTAATGAGGGAGGGAGGGAGAAAAGGAGGGAGGGAAAGAATTTGGAACTTAATATTTTAAAAAGCAAATATTAAAAATTGTTTTTTACGTGTAGTTGTGGGAAAATTAAATATTAAATAAATGTATTTTTAAAATTAATTTGAGAAGGGACAGAACATTGCCAGTGAGATAGATCCAGAAACGGATCTTTCCATGGGAGGTGGTATCTGTTCTCAGCCTTGAAGGAAGCCAAGGAGGCTGTGATCACATCATTTGACTACTCAGAACCTTTCAATGACATCATATTGCCTATAAGGTAAAGCCCAAACTCCTTAGCCTGGCATTCAAAGCCATTTACAGTATGAGCTTGTCCTAACTCTAAATTCAAATTTTTTCAGTTCTACACTGACTATGTTCTTATTATTTGCAGGGCCACAGGTGTTAGGTATTGGGAAAAGATACAAAAGAATCAGACTTGTTTCTTGCCCTCTAGGATATCATTTGAGGGAATAAGACAGAGGCTAAATAAGACTAAATAAAACTAAAATGCAAGGCAGCTAGAGACAAGGGCCTTAAAAAAAAGTGAATACTGAGGAGGGGTGGGAATCAGATGAGGGAAAGCTCATGCTATGTGTTGGATGGTTTGGCATGAGAGAAATTTGAAGCAGGAAGACCAAACAGGAGGACATCACAACAATCCGGGTGAATCATGGAAACTTGCTTTAAGGTGAAGATCTTGGAAGTGGAGAGAATGTGGGAATGGAGTGCTAAATAATATCTCTTTGTACAAGGTCCTCATTGTTCACACTCCCTTCCATGCTGTTACTAAGTCTCTGGTCATCATGAGAGGACAATTCCCAATCCCAGAGTTCCTTGGTCAGCTTCCAGGAGATAATTCCTTCTTCAAAATGAAATAGGTAGAAGGAAGTAGTATAGAATATACGGAGGAAAGCATCATTGGAAAGACAATTATGAGTTTGGAGATAACAACAGTTAGGGAGGGCAAGAATGGTCAGTAAAGACCTGCCAGAGTAATTGAGACTTAAGTTGAGCCTTGAAGATGCAATGGTAGATGGAGGGAGGGAGGTGGCAGTTAGAAGGATATCACAGGTAGGATAAGAGCTGTGGGAACATCCATAAATGGGTTTGGGGGATAGTGAAATATCCCATTGGGCTGGAGCTGAGAGTCTGGAGAGGAGAACTATGAGTAAGAAGCCAAGAAGGGGGAAAACCTACAGGGGACTTTTCAGTGCTGACCTATGGAGTTCAGTTCTTATCCTATATGAGCTGCTGCAGATTTGCGAGCAGTGAATAACCTTGGCCTTAGGGATGACAGTTTGGTGATCTGCCTGTTTTTTTGCTTATTCAATCCCCATTTAAATCCCTCTTTATCCCTTCCTATCCTTCAAGGGTCAGATGTAATGTCCCTTCCCCTTTCCTCCTGCCACCCCAAGGAATTTCTTTGAAATCCTTGGTCCATAGGTGGTAGGTAATATAGCAGAGAAGGCGACAGAGCTGGACTGTGGGGTCAAGAAGGCAGCAGCTGCTACCAATAGCCCTGAAGAGGCACTAACCTATCTTCCATATCACTGCTTCCTGAAGCTAAGAGGAAGGCTCGAAAGAGCAGTTTCCACTGATGCTGTTTAATGATTCCCCCTAATCGCATGGCACGTGTGGAATGTGACAGTCTTTTTTTTTAAATTTTTTGTTGCTTTTTGGTGAGGCAGTTGGGGTTAAATGACTTGCCCAGGGTCACAAACCTAGTAAGTGTTAGTGTCTGAGGCTGGATTTGAACTCAGGTCCTCCTCACTCAGGACCGGAGATCTATCTACTGTGCCACCTAGCTGCCCCAATGTGACAGTCTTTGGTAAGGGGTTAAAAGACTGGCAGGAGAGCCTTGTGGGACTTCGGTGCCCTGGAGAAGCACATCTATAGTGACTGGGAGCAGGTAGAATTTAGGCTGGTCATCTCTCCTTGTGCTCCTCCTTGCTATGTGTATTCCTCTTCATCTGAGTCTTACACAGCATGCTGGACTACAGAGCTGGAGCGGAGAAAGCCCCAAAGGATTTGATGGTGACAAAATTATAATACAAATTTAAAGAAGGCTGCATCTTGACAGCACCTTTGGAGCCTTTCCCATTACCAGATCCAAATCAGAGGTTGAAAAAACTTGAGAAGGAGGATTTCTGAGATCTTACAGGCCAGCAAATGATCAATGCATTGTCTAGAGCTGGTCTAAGAGACCCCAGGTATAGTGGAAGGGGCAGAGGACCTGCAGGTAGGAGGTTCAGGAGCAGACTTGGGTCTCTATTGCTTAAGTTTGGTAACTCCAGGCAGATCTCTTCCCTCATGTGAACCAGTTTTCTCATCTGTAAAATAGGCATGCAATTTATACTTGTACCTTCAACCTCACAAGGTAATAGTGTGAGAAAGGCTTTCTGAGGGCAGGAACTAATTAATTCTTTATGAGTTCCTTCAAGCTAAGACTTTGAGCTCTCCAGGGGCAGAGGTGGTTAGTTCTTCTGCCTCTCCAGGCTGTGAGGTCCGCCAGAATGAACTCCAGGTTTGCTTCTCCTACTTGTCCCCACAGTTGAACCAATCCCAGGGCCAGGTGCAGAGCACAGAGTATGTGCTCTCACTGCAGAACTTCAGCCTAAATTCGACCTGCTCCCAGTCACTGATTGTTTTTCCAGGAATCAGCACTGGGGTCCTGGCCCCAGAAGGTGTGGCTACCTGGCACCCTTGAGGAAGGATGGAGGAGGCCATCAGCTGAGACTGAAGCAGTGGCTGGAGTCACAAGAGTGCTGAGGAACAATGGAGATGGGGGGAAAGCCCTGCCTCTTACTTTAGCACACAAACACAATGTATTTCTTCCTTTCCCTACACACACACACACACACACACACACACACACACACACACACAGAGCACCAAACAGCATAGCACAGTAGCAGCATCCGGGACTATAATCCCAGGTTTGTGTCAAGGCCTCTGCCTGGCCCCAGCAAAGTGTGTTTGGCACAGTGGTATTTGCCTGAGTCCTCCTTTCGCAGCTGGTGCAAGGTCAGGGAGACAGTTTGGGCCTCATTGTTCCTGGTGATGAAGGCCCTGCCCTGAACTCTAGTGCTGTACTCTCTGTTACTGCCAGTTTTGGGGCTGATGCTGGCCACTAACTCCCTGTGGTTCTCAGTTGAGCTCCAGTGCCAAGACATGGCGTATTCCTTGAAGTTAAAGCCAGAGGCCCTGCAGTTCAGAGTAACAGACTGGCCTTCATTTGTCACCTTGCCTCCTGTCTCCACTAGTCGCACCTGGGTCCAGGACCCTGCAGAGGACAACCAAAGAGATTAAGTCCTACACAAAGCCTCCATGGGAAGGGGAGCTTAGGGAACATGGCAGAGACAAGTAGCTGCTAATTAGACATTCCAATCCCAGCCCAGGTTTCCAGGGAAAGGAGACCAAGCAAGAAGAAGGAGAAGCTAAACTTCAAGTCCACTACCCCCAGGGAAGAGAGGACAGGGATGAGATAGGGGTTGAGGTGTCTAGGAGCTAATTAGAGCCTCAGCTCCATACAGAGGATGAGAAAGAGGTGAGAAGCAGTGTAGACAGGACAGATACCTGGGAGAATGGAGAAGAACAGTCCTAGGAGGTAGATCCTGGAAAGAGTGGTGAGGGTCCTGACAGACATGCTGCTGAGCTGAGCCTGGCAGGACTCTCTAGGCAGACTGGGGTTAGCAATTGTGGCCCAGAGCTGATAATATCTGCATAAATAGGAGTTCTGCCCAGAAGGAAGTGTTTTTAAGAAGGCAGCTGAAATCAGTGGGCTCTGCCCATGCCCCACATGGGGGTGGCTGGAAGTAGGTGGAGCATCAGGCAAACAGATAAGCCTGGGCTGGAGAAGGGAGTTAGCACAGAATACTTGTGACCGCAGGGCTCATTTCTAGCCCTGCTGGTATTCAAAAAATCACCTTGAGTTTTGATACTGGGTCTGCAGCACGTGTCCTGAGGCATGGGGGTGCTTGGAGCATAGATCAGCATCTTGAGGTGAACACTATAGCTATAACAGTCCAACTCAGCACAGATTAGAAGGTAGGTCTGGCCTTTCTCTTCTTAGCTGTCCTTGGTTTATCCCATTCCAGTCATCTCTCTTTCTTTGCATCCCAAGACTCTGAGGAAACTGGATTCCAGGGCATTAGTAGTTCAGCGGCAGTGCCAGGAGTCTAGGAATAGACCATTATCACCACAGACCCAATAGTTTTCTGGATTCTCAGGTACCCATAGGCCAGATGAAATGTCCTACTATGTAAGCACGGAGAGGAGGGAGAGATTTTTGTCCTCTGGGCAGTCACAGTGAATAAATGAATGACCTGGAATGGTTCATAGAATGCTAGGCTCAGAAATTGGGAGCAGCCAGCTGGTGTGGTGGATAGGACCTTGCACTGTAGTCAGGAAGACCTGTATTCAAATCCAGCCTCAGGTACTTACTAGCTTTGTGACTTCAGGCAAGTCACGAGTTCTGTCTGCTTCAGTTTCCTCATCTGTAAAGTGAGGATAATAATAGCACTTTTCTCCCAGAAGAATTCCTGTGAGAATTAAATGAGATAATATTCATAAAGCACTTTGAAATCTTCCAAATGCTATATAAATGCTTGCTATTATTGTTATTATTAGAGCTAAAATTATTATTATGCTCCACCTAGCTGCTCCTAAGGAGCCTCAGGTTTTAATAGCCAAATCTATAGCTTCCACAGGACAGGACCTCTTTCATTCATGGCTTGCCACAGGGTCCTTTTGCCCCAGATCATGTCATCTTTAGGGCCTGATGCTCCAAATCTGCCTGAGCTAAGTTCCTTAGGTTCACAAGCACCAGGTCCTAAATCTCTCCAGAGGTAGTCATGAGTAAGGGCACATGGAGCCCCCAGGAAAGAGGCCCTAAGCCATTTTAGATATACCAAGGAGGCCACCTGGAGTTGTTGCATTGCTTTCAGAAACTTTCAGCCCACATCAAGAGATCAGTTTACTGGCCTGGTTTAGATTCCTGAGGGAAGTCCCCCTTTGGGAGCCATTATACCTGCAATGACCTATCTACTGAGAATCATTTAAGATCAGTTGAGCCCCAATAGGGCCAAAAACCTGAATTAATCTTTTCTGAGTGAACTAAGAATGCCTCTTCCTGTGTCAGCAACTACAGGACCAGATGGAACTGACCGGCATTCTTCCTGTTTGTGATCACTAAGGACAGGATACCTGGGACCAGGCACTCTCTTGAATAGTGGGACTTTTCTTATCTATGGACATATGTTATGTAGGGGATACACAGATATGCTGGATCTATAATTTCAACTGACACCTTGACATTCTCCTATTTTATTGTATTTACCACCTATTCAACTAAGAAACTTCCTTTCCCATGCTATATGTTAAAAAACATATGGAGGTTGTATTTTTTTTTTTTGAGTAACACAAGCATCCTGAGTCAGGATTTAAATGTTGTCCTAAAATTGCTGGAGTCAATCAGAATTAAAGCTCTGATTCTACATATGTACTCGAATTTACTTATCACCTAGCTTGTTGTCTCTTTAACTAACTTTCAGGTCGACACTACCCACTGGAACAGGATGGCATTCTCTTACTGAGGTCCCACTGTGTGGGACAGAAACCCTAACCCAAATTAAACTCAGAGACTTCTCAAGGTGGAAAGCAAAGGTTACCTTTTTTACAATCTCGCTAGATGGCTGTCTGCTCCTTTGATACATGTGGAGAGAGAGAGAGAGAAGAGAGAGAGAGAGAGAGAGAGAGAGAGAGAGAGAGACCGAGTAACAGGGGCCGCCTTATAAAAGCAAATCTCTGCCCACTATGCAAACAAGTCTCCACCCACCACTATCCCTTACCCCCTTAACTGGGGGTGGGCTTACATTCTAACAGGGAGGTGGGGCTTACATTCCAGGCCCCAAATTCAAAGACAAGGAAAGAGGTGGGAAGCCAAGGGCAAATGGCTCAGGTTGAGGGTAGGGCAGGCCTTATTCTTTCTGTTTCTGCTTAAAAAGAGGGTCTGAGTGGGGGAGGATTTTGAAAATAATAATCAAAAATTATTCACCTTTTGAAGAGGCCTCACCTCTGAGAGTTCATCTCTCACACCACTTAGGGAGTTAGCTAAACTTACAATGGCATCAAGGGGTTAGTAGTCAGGACTCTCAGGTGCTTCAATTCACTGTCTGTAAAGTTAACTTAACAAGCACAATTGTCCAGTGGTCAAAGAAGCCATTTGAGAAGCATCTCCCAAGGCCACTGAAGGAATATGGTTTGTAACTGATCCAGTTCCTTAGAAGAATATGGCACTGACTTTGACTCTTAGACTGGTACCTACCCCACCTTACAGGCTAGATTAGGTATGACAACTAGGTGGGCTTCTTCCCATTCCCTTAAGGAAAAGAGTTGTGAAAGGTCTGTACCCAAACTACAAAATGGAGCACCCCTTCCTCAACCCAGGGTGATTGTGGGGAGTTTCCTTTCAGTCAGTCAGAAAGTTAAAAATATATATATTATTAAGCATTGACTATTATGCTTGGGACTGTGCTAAACATCAAGGATACAGGGAAAGGCCAAAACACAGTCCCTGCCCTCAAGGAGTTCACATTCTAATGGAGAAGACAACATGCAAACAACTTTATTGTATGCCATGTAAATGGAAAGCAATTTCAGAAAGAAAGCATTTGCTAAAGAGGGAGGGGTTGAGGAGGACTGGAAAAGGACTCTTGCTGCAGGTAGTATTTGAGATGAATCTTAAAGAAGGCCAAGGAACAGAAGACTGCATTCAAGGAAAGAGAGTATTCCAAACATAGGGGACAGCCAGGTGAAAAGACGTGGAATAGGGAAGTGGGGTGGAGTGTGTGAAGACCATTGTCTCTGGATCATACAATACATTTAGGAGAGTAAAGGTAAAAAGACTGGAAAGGTTAAAAAGTGGTTAGGTTGTGAAGGGCTTTAAATGCCAAAAGGTGCATTTTATATTTGATCCTAGAGGTTATAAGGAGCCACTGGGGTTTATTGAGTTGGGAGGTGGGAAGGTCAGAATCAGACATACATTTTGTGAAAATCACTTTGGCAGCAGAGTGGACAATAGATTGGAGTTTCCAAGGGACCCTGCCATTATCTGACCACCCATCCACCATACGATGTCTGTCAATCTTACCTTCCAAATCCTATGGTTCCCCAAACTCAGCTCTAGAAGACCCAGCTTTAGGAGGTGTTGGGGGGGGTGTCACCCAGCCTACAGGAAGCCCAGAACAAGCTCCTGTTACCCTTTCCTCCTTTACATCCTAGCAAAGGCAGTCTATTTCCTCTCTTGCCTATTTATTGCAGTAAGAGCAGCCAAGGGGCAGTCTCCCTTCCACTGTTTAGTCCCTGTAGGTTCCTATCTTTATGGCTCCATCTATCTATGTCCTCACGCTCAATGAAGCATCCTTCCCAAACCCAAGATGGGATTTATCTCACAGGGTCCATAGTCGTTGTGTGACCACATACTAGGGGCCATATTAAGCCAATTTAGCTTCAGAGGGAGGGGATAGGTCATGTTCTCCTGACTTCTGTTCTTTCTGAACCTCTTGCCTGAACATTGCACATACTCCTGTCAAGTGTGACAGTTGTTTCAAGCAAGGACCTGACCTGGCACAGCTAAACCCTTGGAATCCAGCTGTGAAAGCAAGTGGTTCCTTTAATGAGATGCTAAGGATATCATTCTCAAGCCGCAGTGTCAGGATGAAGGACTTGTTGACCCCATGTAGAAACAGAAAATACAAGGCTTGGAACAACTAGATGGCGCAGTGGATAGAGTGAAGGGCCTGGAGTCAAGAATTCCTGAGTTCAAATTAGACCTCAGACCCTGGGTGGCCCTGGTCAAGTCACTTGACATCTATTTGCCTCAGTTTCCTCATCTGTAAAATGGAGAGGATAATAGCACCTACTCCCAGTTGTAATATTTTTTATTTGCTTGGGAGAGTGCCTGGCACATGGCTGCTATGTAAATGTTAGTTATTCCTTCAGAAATGAAAGGTTGAAAAAGAGTAGATTGAGTGGCTCTTATATGCTCTGGGGAGGCCCCTCCCTACTAGCTTAAACAAAAGCCTGTGCCAGGTCAGCATTTCTTTTGGGTTCTAGCAAGCTGCTTCCTGCCTGCTGTCTAACTACCTAATAACTCCTGAGCTGCCACAAGCTTCAATAATCAGAGGGTCATTTTTTTCCCACACGCAGGGTTGAGCAGGGAAGGTACACAAGAGGAACTGGGTTTGATAGGGGCTGGGATTTGGGCCTCAGCTTATTTGGGCCCTGAGCCTTGAGAACAGTAGTAGGCTCAGAATACAGGGAGCAAGCATGAACAAGGAAGATGTTGGCATGTCTTTGTCCCTGGCATCTCATTCCCCAATCGTCACTTCTAGCACTGTTGCAGTGTGAGAGGTTGAGAGGTTGTGACCCCTCAAAACTGAAGTACATGGGTCATCTGGAATGAATTCACAGACTCAAGCATTCTTTAAGCCAAGGTGGCAAAGTTTATTGTTATGCTTTTCAGCGGGCAAGGATTCTTAAAGGATCCTGCAACCTTAGAGAGGTACAGTTAAAGTTTATATAGGATAAAATACAATAAAACATGTGCCAAATATGCTAACTAGGGGATTCAGGGTGGGATTAGGGAGTGGTTAAGGAGCAGTCAGTTCTTAAAAGAACATGCACTTCTTGTACCTACTGCGCAGGCGTTTTACCCAGAGTTCATTAGGAAAATCCCACAAGGGGGGCCACACGGAGGTGTGGTTTTTAGGCCTGCTACATCACTAAGTCAACTAGAGTTCAGGGGTAACTGAGAGTTGTCGAGTCCGCCACTAGTCAATGTCTTGTTTGACAAGAGAGATATAGGGAGTCTTAAGTCTAGAATACAGTTAATGAGGAGCCCAGGATGTAGATAATAAGGTAGGGTGGTAGGATAGTATAGTAGTGGGTAAGAATGTCCTTATGACCCAGTGCAAAGCCGGTTTAAACTAATAAATCCTTCAGGTGCTGTTTGGAACTGCACCAGGAGAGAGATAAGGGTCTT